GTGAATGAAAAGAAATCCAAATGATATTCTCTCGGTTTATTTGCAACCGCGAAAAGTTTATTTGAATTGTCCTCACATTTGCTGAGGATTTCATCTTCGTCCTTCTCTACCCTTTCTGTTTCCCTTAGAGCCTCAGGAAATGGTGGCATGTTCTCAGGAATGACCGATGATGGAGTTGAGTTTTGAAGTTTCTCCTCCTCTGGTTGAGCTCCCTCCGTAAGCTCCTCTTCTTCTTTCTCCTCGCCAATGTGGTTCACAATGTTTGGCACTTGTTTCAATTGATTCTCCAAGTTCAGTTCTTTGAGCACTGTTTCTTGCGGGTATTGCGACATATCTTGTTGCATTTGTGTCACATTGATAGTGAGAGCTCGGATCATGTCTTCAGTGGACATGCTGGAATAATAACTTGAGTATGGATTATATGTGTTGGGGAATGAATCATACCTCTCTTGGAAAACAACATCATCACTCTGTTCAAAGTATTCTTCTTGCAGCTTGGGGCAAAAATCCGTAAGATGCCTTTGTGACATGCAACTGTTGCAGGCCTCGGTATCTTGAACGTTTGAGCATAAGAGAAACTCCTTTACTAAAAATGTTAAGCTAGAAATTTGACTCTCTAGCGATGATGTGTTGGTATCCATTTACTCATATAAGCTCAGAAAATAGAAGAGCAAGATTTTTTTTAATTATATTTATTTTTTATTTTTATTCTATTTTTATGAGATAAAATAAAAAGAAAAGTAATTTCCTTTCCCCGGCAACGGCGCCAAATTTGACGAGCACTTTGTCACGGTGCGTCAAAATAAATTCAATACTAACACTTATACGTAGTATAGCGTAGTAGAGTTCGTATCCACAGGGAAAGGAATAATTCTCTTTTTATGATACTTAGTAAATAAAAAGGTGGGATTTGGATTGAGTGATTTAATTTAATTAAGAACTAAGATGAACAACCTATATGTGTTTAATTCAAAGATAAAAAGGACTTGGCATTGCTACTTTCCACTTGTTGATATATTTTAGTCGATCATTGTCATATCTATAACTTATTCCCTCTCGAATACTCAATCGGGGAGTATATCCACTTCATCGAGGGTAGTTATTAACAACGACCGTTCATTAATAACCCTTACTATTAATCAAATATAGAACAACGCCTTATACCGATTTAATAGTAGCATTTAATCTTTCTACTCTCCTTGATGAAATCAATTGAGATTGATAACCTCAACACAAGCGGTTTCGGTTTAACCAACAAAATTAATCCCTCTTAAGTTTATTAACCACAACCGTGCATTAATAAACCGAAGCTACTTACTTGTGAAACCATCAACGATTAACCATCGGTTCGTTGATCGTTTCTAGTAATAATTAATATATGAAACATAACTAGTTGATCCTTTAAGTAATGTTCAAAATATTAATATGAAATAAGAGTAGGAATTAATTAATATTCAAGGAAGAATATTATTAAAGAAGATGAATCCTACTATAATTAATATCAAGATGTTAACTAATTGTCATCTTAGCAACACTCCCCAACATTAATATAGAGGAAGAAAATACCATTCTAACTAATGTCGAGATGTTAACTAATTGTCATCTTAGCAACACTCCCCAACATTAATATAGAGATGGTATTAAGGAAAGAACTATTAATTAATATTCAAGGAAAGAAGTTAAGAAAATAACTCACAACTTTAATAATCAACAAGCTTCAAGAGCAACACCAAGATTGGAAGTTTAGCTCCTCATTTGGAGACTAAACATAGCTAGAAAAATATAAAGAAATGCTATTCTAAACTGAGCTAAAGAGTATGGAAGAAGGGATTATTTTTTGTGAAGAAAAAGTGTGCTATTTATAGGTGTTTTTCAACACCTTTGGCCGGGTACCCGACCGGGTCCGGTCAAAATCAGATAATCCGCCACGTTCTGGTGATCTTCGCACGTCGTTTTGTCCCGGGTCACATCTGACCCGACCGGGTCAAGTAGGGGACCCGACCGGGTCCAGTGACTTTCTTGGCAATTTCGTCTGTTAAATCATACCCGACCGGGTGGGGGTTTCTACCCGGTCGGGTTTCACTCCTGGGCAGTCAAATTTCTTGTTTTCTTCTCTTCAAAGTCTTCCTTTCCAACACCACAAATCCTAACTATACTTTACAACTTATAAATGAGAATTAAAATACGATTACAACTAAAATCACACAAATGTTTACAAACTAAATAAAACGGTAAACAATACACACAAATCAATCATAAAAATATACATTTATGCACTACTAATTAGTGCATATCACCAGCAGTACGCACCAATGCCAGGGAGACCGGCCAGTTTCTACACCCCAATGACCGTCGCCCTGCCATTTGCGAGATGGGGGATAGACCTGCTGGGACCCCTTCCCAGGACGATCGGCGGAAAGAAATTCATAATAGTGGCCATTGACTATTTTACGAAGTGGGTGGGGGCTGAACCATTGAAGAACACCACTGAGTCCCAATGCCAACGGTTCGTATGGCAGAACATATTGTGTCGGTTCGGCATCCCGGAACAGATCATCACAGACAACGCCCAGCAGTTCGTCGGCAAGGGATTCGAGGCATATCTGGCCAAGTGGGGCATCCGGCATTCAAAGGCTTCAGTCGCATACCCGCAGGCAAACGGCCAGGTGGAGAATATGAACCGGATCATCATGGATGTCATTAAGAAGAAATTGGAAGATTACTCCTCAACCTGGCCGGAGCAGCTGAATTATGTCTTGTGGAGATACATGACAACCCCAAGAACGGCGACCGGGGAAACACCGTTCGCACTGGCATACGGATTTCAGGCCAAAGTCCCCACCGAAGTAATGGTGCCCACGCACCGGACTCTGCAATTCGACCCAGGACAGAACGAGGAGAACCTAAGGGCCGAGTTGCACTTCAACGAGGAAAGAAGGGACCTAGCCGCTCGGCGCATGGAGGAATATCATCGGGCAACCGAGAGGTATTTCAACAAAGCAGTAAAGGTCAGAGAAATCAGGGTCGGAGACTTGGTGTTACGGAAGCGGGAGAAGAGCAAGCCGCTGGAAGGAGGCAAAATGGCCAGAAATTGGGAAGGACCGTACAGGGTATACGAGAAGAGATTGGCGGCAGGGACGTTCCTCTTACAAACTATGGAAGGACGTTCCGCTGTCATATGGAACGTGGAGCACCTGAAGAAATTTTACCAATACCCCCCCTGAAAAAAAAAGAGACAGGGGGAAGGAATCATTAGAAGTATTCCGTTCATACAAATGTAACAGCAGGAATTAATAAAGACAAGAGGCTTGGACATTAGCCCAAAAAGTCCCGTGGTTTTTCCCTTTCCGGGTTTCCACGATAAAATCATGGTGTACAACGTCATCACAAAAACACTACGAGCTCCCAGGGGAAACCAACATCCCCCACCGGACGGGACTAAGCACCCAAATGGCATAACCACCGAACAAAAGACCTCTCCAAAAAAATGGAGAGAGGCATTGGGGAATCTCCAAAGGGGATAAACCCGTTCCGCATCACAATCGCGACCGAGCCCAGCTCAGGATCCTAAGGACCGGGCTGAATGGGCAGGTAAGACAAACGGATGACGGGACGAAGACCGGGGAATCCCCAAAGGGGATAAACCCGCTCCGCGTCACAATCGCGGCCGAGCCCAGCTCAGGATCCCAAGGACCGAGCCAAATGGACAGGTAAGACGAACGGACGACGGGGCAAAACAAAAGACCTCTCCAAAAAAATGGAGAGAGGCATTGGGGAATCTCCAAAAGGGATAAATCCGTTCCGCATCACAATCGCGGCCGAGCCCAGCTCAGGATCCTAAGGACCGGGCCAAATGGGCAGGTAAGACGAACGGATGACGGGACGAAGACCGGGGAATCCCCAAAGGGGATAAACCCGCTCCGCGTCACAATCGTGGCCGAGCCCAGCTCAGGATCCCAAGGACCGGGCCAAATGGACAGGTAAGACGAACGGACGATGGGGCAAAACGAAAGACCTCTCCAAAAAAAATAAAAATAAAAATGGAGAGAAGCATTGGGGAATCCCCAAAGGGGATAAACCCGTTCCGCATCACAATCGCGGCCGAGCCCAGCTCAGGACCCTAAGGACCGGGCCAAATGGGTAGGTAAGACGAACGGATGACGGGACGAAGACTGGGGAATCCCCAAAGGGGATAAACCCGTTCCGCGTCACAATCGCGGCCGAGCCCAGCTCAGGGTCCCAAGGACCGGGCCAAATGGGCAGGTAAGACGAACGGACGACGAGGCAAAACAAAAGACCTCTCCAAAAAAAAAAGGAAAAAAATGGAGAGAGGCAAAACGGGGAAGGATAAGCAAAAAGACCAACGGATGACAAGTTGTAAAGATGATCGCGGCAACCAAGATACACTTTATTCATCAGCTCTACCGGCCGGAAAGTACAATAAACACGAGTTCGGAGTGAAATCAAGAGTACAAAATAACCGGAACCATCACGTCGCGGGGAGCTATCATTGAATATAGATGAGGCTGTAAGAGCTTTCTATGAACCCAGAGGCGTGAGGGCCGAAGTAAGCCATCTTAAAAACATTAGCCGCCTCGGGAGGAACGGCCGACAAGCCAGGAGGTACGGCTGGAAAGCAGAATTTGACAAACTCACTCAGCCAGGGGGGGGGTGTCCGTCACCTGGCACTTGCCCTTTAAAGCCTCCCCGTAAGCTTCAACAAACGAGGCATTGAAACCAGCGACCTCAGGATCAAACGGCGTGGGGAGATAACGTTGGAGGGCCGGGAGGTTTCCGGCCAAAAGGCCGATCATACCTTTGCCAAAGGCATCGTCGACAAGCTCTACAAGGAACTCCTGGCCGGCGGAGGTTCCCGATACCAACCCGATGCCGTCCTTCAGCGGATCAGAACTCTTAGCCAGAAACTCCCCAAAACTCTGGGCAAGGCGCTCCTTTACACGGACATTCACGGCATCGACATAGGCACGGGATTTCTGGAACTCAATAGAGCCAGCCTCCTTGATCTTGGAAACATCAGCCTCAAAAACAGGAACGACCCCATCCGTACCAACCTGGCGAAGCTGCACGTCGGACTTCTCCACGGCAGCCACCTTGTCACGAAGCAGCTGCAGCTCCTCGACTTGTTTCCTCACCGTCTCCTGAAGTGACGTGCTTCCCCTAGCAAGCCCCAGGGCAGCGTTCAAATCCTGCTGCATCTGGTGCAGGCGCTCCTTGGCCTTCTTCACCAGATCATCGGCTTCACAACGCACCTGGGCGGAAGCACGCTCCTGAGCTTCATAAGCAAACAGCGCCTTGCATAAATAGATGGCGGCCTTGTTGAGCGTGCTAAGGCCGCACTCATGAAGGTCCACCGCGTTGTCACGAGCAGCGAAATCCCGAGGGAGTTTCAACCCCAGGGAACACCAAATCGAAGAGGTCGTCTGCCCGAACAACCTCTTTGACTCCGCACGGGGGCCCAACACGGAGAACTCAATGATATCAGAAAACGAATCCTCAGAACCGGACGGAGTAGGATCGCTCGAGCCCTGGCCCGGCAGGGGTTTGGGGGCGGCTTAGGAGGAGAGGCAGCCTCATTATCAGACCCATCAAGGACCACCACGGCCTTGGAGGACCCTTCCCCGTGGCGAGACTTCTTGGGGGGGCGTTCATCCCCAGCAGGTTCAGCCTTGGGCCTCTTTTGGCCATGATCCTCACCAACGATCTGCTTTCCCTTGCTAGCATCAGCCCGGACAGAGGAGGGAGTGGCACGGGGTTGGGGAACCATGGCAGAGGATCTCGGATAAAGCCCTGCAAAAAACAAGAGAAATTGTCAGAACAAGTTGGGAGGCATAAAAATGAGAGCCCAAAACCCGGGCCTCAGCGAGGACGCACCTATGCCGGCCTTGCCCAAGTTGGTGTCATTCACCAGCAAACGCAGGTTCTGGACCCCCTCACCGGCGATACGCGCGGCCTGTTCCAGCTCAGTTGAATGGAGAACTAGAGGCTCAAACTTGGTTGGAAAGGCATTCCACCGATCGGAGAAGGGGAGGGGTGTGACACCCCCAAATTTTCCACCCAAAATAATACTTTGAACTAGAGATGAACTTTTATTTAATGATTAAAACTTCAAAAGTTGCAGCGGAAATTGATAAAAACTAAGTAAAAGGGGCATGTCACCGCCACATCCAATCCGTGAATGATTGGATGCTAAGGCTATCTACCAAAACACGAGTTTCACAAAAATCAAGATATTCGAATCATAAGTAAATATTAAAGTTTATTTCTAGTGAACTACATAGTTGTCTTCTAATTCGCGCTCTCAAACATTGCAACATCAAAATCAACATGATCACCTCCTGTTAAATACGAGCACAAGAAAAATAAAAGAAAACAACCATTAGCAATAATGCTAAGTAAGTTCCACCTAACCTTTTAAAATAATAATAAATAATATATATAAATTCGTACAACCTCATAAAATATTTTTCAAAACACTTTATAAACCATAAATCATAAGTAAACGATATCTATATAAAATCCCAAACACATAATTAACTCGTGAACCACAATAATTCCAAAATACATGAAACACCAAAATTCTCCTCTTTTGAATTTCTCCCAAAATCACTTTGTATCTAACTTCCTAGTAATTTAGAAGGGCGGTGCTCAACACTTTGGTTGAGCCCGGTGGTCCGTTGTTATATACGGCCACCCCGGAACTATCGCCGGTACCACAACTGCTCCTTGGAAACGGAAACAACTACTTTAAGTGTGCACACCCCTAAAGGTATTCCAAGCCCTCCGGGTTAGTAAGTCGATCCGGGTAGCCGGGATGTTTTCTACCAATTACCCCACCTCAAAACCTGAATGATTAGGAGCTACTACTACCACTACTACTCAAAAAGCCGGGATGTTTTCTACCGACCGACAATTCACCTCAAACCAACACAAACCAAAAATTGAGTAGTAGTAGACCTAACCATCCTCCACATTTTAAGGGACGTAGAAAACCAACACCACGGATTTCTCTCGTGATGCTCACCCTTTATGAAAATATTTATTTCTCTTTCAAAAATTTCCTTTTTCATTAAACTCCCACAAAGATAACAAATTACTTACTATTACAAAATCTTCCAAAATAACTCATATCAACAAACTAATATCTCAAATACAATCCTTTTATATAATAATATTCAAATTCAGCACACATAAATTCAATTCTCAAATAAGCACACAAAAATATTTAAAAGAAATCACGTAGAAAAAGAACTAATTTCGGTTGACGTGAAACTTACCTTAAATCCAAATGCTCCTACTTCTCTTCTTCAATTCCAGTCTCTAAATGAGCACCTTTTTAATTTAGATGATATAATTAGTCACTTATTCTATTTATCAATTATTTTATTCAATTTTCCCCTTTTATTTCCTTATTCGAATTTATTAACTTAATTTATTAGTTATTTGAATTTATTTGATTAATCACTTTTTATTAATCAAATTACCTTATTAATTCAGCCATTAATTACAATATTTGAATTCTAATAAAATATCCGAATATAATTAACCACAACATCCAATTTTTATTCAATAATCACCATTAATTTCCTCTACTCATAAATTATTATCTAATTACTTAATTAATATTAACCCATTAATTTATGAATTCAAATATTTTAAATATTTATATGAAGTCCGAATATCTAATAATAAATCATAAAAATTATTAATTGAATTAGTCCACTAATTACATAACTAAGTTATTTATTAAGTCTACATATAGTCAATTATTTATGTTAGCTAATCCAACCTTATTTTATTTTCCTTATTTTATTCCAACATCATTTTTAGTCCAGAATATTATTTTTCAATCTCAGTGATTTATTTATTTCACCATTAATATTAATATTTCCTTATTTAATTACTTAACTAGTTTTATATGGCCCAATTAAATTAAATAGACTAAGAATTGACTTTATAAATTAAAAACCGTCTATAACTATATTTTGGGTCTATATTTGACCTAGGTTGTCCAGATATCTATTTTATAATTATTTTCCATAATTATTCCTTTAATTTCATATATCTAATAACCGGTTCAATTACAATTAAATATACTAAATCTTTATTTTTATTAATTATAAATGGTCCATAAGGTTCTAGTTAGTCATATATTTATCCTAGTTTATTCCAATATTTATTTCATAATTATTTTCGTTATTTAGTTAATTATTTACTAAATGTGTATAAATTGGCCCAATTACAATTAAATCAATTAAAAATAGCTAAAAATATTATTTTTCAATTCTGATTGGTCCGAATATGTATATTTATACTAGGTATTTAATTTATATTTTTCCAGATTTTATTTATTTGATTTACTATTTTATTTTTAATTTTTATTTAAACTAGGCCGAACTGGCCCATTAAACCGACCCGGCCCAAGAGTTCTGACCCAGACAACTGGGTCATCTTCTCCAGGTCGATTCCGGCGACTTCGCCGGAAACTAGAAATCTCCGGCGAGCTATAACTTGACTTACAGATAACGGATTTCGACGATTCAAGTTGCAAAATGATCCTTGCGGCGAGACGAAGCTCCTCCACCCCTATCTACGGCAAAATATATGCTTTTTATAAAGACCCGCTTCCACAACTTGCAACTCCGGCGAGCGATATCTCTCTCGTTTCACGACCGTTTTCAACGATTCTTTTTCCGTTGGATTCGTATCACGAAGGGGAAGGTTTGAGGGGTTTTTTCAGGGCTTGGTTCTGGCTAAAACGGAGGGTCGAAAATTTTGTGTATATATATATATATATATATATGTATATATATATATATATATGTATACGTATATATGTATATATATGGGCTGAACTGACCGTTTTCTTGATGTGAATAAAACGCAGGTTAAGGCTGCTATTTATAGGTGTAGGTTGAGGGTTTTAGGCTGTGTTAGAGTTTGAGTTAAATTCAATCACCTTCTTACTTATCTCTTTATTTTTGTGCGTAGGCTTATCGCATACGTATTAATACGCAGGTTGAGCTCGTTCATGACTCTGAATGTAGTCCTCCTTTGTTTTCTGATTCATGCAACGTGTGGTTAAACATCCCAACTCTTATAATTGATATAGTAGTTGTGTATTAATAATATTACTCCTTCCGTTTGCATCCCACGTAGTAGTACGTAACTTAGGTTTGTAATCTATTATTATATTTTAAAAGCATAAAAATAGCATTTAGGAAAAATCAAGTTGTGTTTGTAAATCTCATACAAAATTAAAAATAGTTAAAATAACTTTTATAATTCATGCCATGCGTATGACATCACTTTCATAATTATTATAAAACCGGACTCCTATTATCGGACCATTTTTTATCTGACTAAAACGTCATAAATTTTGAAACTTTATCTGATTGGAATGTCACGACTGTTGAATTTTTGTCTGACTCAATTAATTATTAAAATGTTATTTTCGTAATATTTTATCTGACTAATAAAAATTATTTTTATTTTTATTTTTATTTAGATTTTTGAAGTGTCACAAGGGGGGAATCAACCCCGACGAGGAAGAACCTCTCCTCCCAGCTGTTCGGGTTGGAGGGGTTGTTGGAAAAAAGAACCCTCCACGAACGGGCCACCACACAGAGAACCCGTCTGGCCGTACGGGGAAAGCCGGAAGAAATGTAGGAACAACTTCACAGACGGCTCGACCCCCACGTTGTGGCACCGGATTATGAAACCGGCAAGAATCTGATGGGAATTCGGGACGAGTTGGGCCGGGGCGATGCCATGTCTCCTGAAAAGAGAAACATGGAAAGGAAGCAGCGGGAAAAGGAGACCCGCTGCCACAGAGTCCAGATGGATGACCACATGGCCAAGAAGATGCCGCATAGGGTGGCGGAGGAACCGTGCGTCCCAAACCCGTGGGGGGGAAGCAACCGGGGAATCAGGTTCTTCTCGCTGAGGAGCATATGTTGGCGCTGACGCCGAACGAGGTGGAAATTAAGGGAAAAACGAGGAGGCTGGGGGGCATCCCACACCTATAGACCGAGAGATCGTCCCCTGAGTTACAACCGTCATCGGATAAGTTTCCGGAACGGCCATGGGCGGACGACTTGGGGACAATGGAAGACATGGCAGGTACGGAGGAGGAATGGGAGACTTACAAGGAATCTAGAGAGAGGAAATAATCCGGCAGAAGTCACAAAGCAATCCCCCAATTTTGGCAAGGGGATATTTATAGGCGAAAACCACCCCGACTCCCGAATGGAGGAGAGACACGTGGCGGTCCATGGTTGGTGCATCCTACGGTTGGGGACGCTTCGGGATCCACGCCGCAGGGGACAAGTGCTGAAACCACCCCTCACAAATTCCAAAAAAAAAGAGGGGAAGAGGTTGGATGCCCATGAACAAGGATCAAAGGCCGTTCCTCGTCAGAAGAAGAGGTGAAGGCCCATGAATAAGGATCAAGGGTCGTTCCTCGCCGGGAGAAGAGGTGAAGGCCCATGAATAATGATCCAAGGCCGTTCCTCGCCAGGAGATGAAGTGAAGGCCCATGAACAAGGATCAAGGGCCGTTCCTCGTCAGAAGAAGAGGTGAAGGCCCATGAATAAGGATCAAGGGTCGTTCCTCGTCAGAAGAAGAGGTGAAGGCCCATGAATAAGGATCAAGGGTCGTTCCTCGCCAGGAGAAGAGGTGAAGGCCCATGAATAAGGATCAAGGGCCGTTCCTCGCCAGGAGAAGAAGTGAAGGCCCATGAGCAAGATTCAAGGGCTGTTCCTCGTCAGATTCAAGGACCAAGGGCCGTTCCTCGCCAGGAGAAGAAGTGAAGGCCCATGAGCAAGATTCAAGGGCCGTTCCTTGTCAGATTCAAGGACCAAGGGCCGTTCCTCGTGAAAAAAAGGGAAGGGGGGAGAAAGTAGGGAAGCACGAATGAATAAACAG